TTTAGTTGTAAAACTCAACATATTTTAACAAATCAATTGGTCAGATTGAAAGTAAATTAAGATCGAAGTGAAAAGATCATCACAATTTCTTAAACATTTTCATGACTTCACCAATTCAAATCACCATTTACAAGATCTCAAAACAAGGAGAAAGACAGAGAAAACTACACAGAACTCATGGAGAAAATATAAAAGCAAAGTCATACAACTTCAATAAGCAAAACTCGGAATTCATATATAAAAGCAAAGTCATACAAACTACAACAAATAAATAACACTTATCTCTAATTCTTCCCCAAGCAAACTCCTCGAAGTTCCTCTGAATCTCTTCCTTTCATTACAGCACACCGAATTCTTCTTCGAAACGGCAAGGAATAAGAAATCTCTCACTTTCCCTCTACTCTTACAATCTCTCGAAGAATTCCTCACAATCTAACCCTCAAATAAACTCTCTACACTCTCCACACTCTCCCATATTTTTTCTAATTTTCGACCAAAATCTTCCTTTAAAAATGTAGAAGAGTTTTCCCAAGAGTTGCCTAAGAATCCCTCCAAAAATCATCCACATTCAATGCACTTTTGAACATAACCACCGATATCGCCGTCGACAGCCTCAAGCGGAGCCTTCTAAATTATTTAATCTGGAGTCTCGAAAAATTCTCGTCGTCGGCGCCCTAATTCAAATCTTCACATTTTGGTCATCTTCGCTCCAAATTCGCTCTTTTTTGCATCCTTTTGATTCAATGACCATAATTCATCATTCTTGCAACAAAACATCAAAAATACATTTCTTTAAAGTGCAATATCATCAAAAACAGTGTAAAATAGGTATGAAAATCTCAAAATATTTTTCTTTGGTCACCAATCTCATTATCAATTTCACAAACACATTTTTCGCTATGTTCAAGGTACTATCACTCGTGACATTTCTATTTCCCATGGTAATCTTTAACTTCATGCATATTTGAATAGCAATTGGGCAAGAGATTCTATCGATGAGAAGTCTACTAATGAATATTGTGTGTATCTAGGCAATGCGTTAATCTACTGCTATCCAAAAAAGCAATCCATCGTTGTTCATTCATCAATTGAAGTACAGTATTAAGCAGCTATCGCTGCCAGTGATATTCTTTGGCCTCATCGCCTTTGTTGCCTACCCCCAGAACTTCAATTGATTGTGATAATACTTAAAAAATGTCTATTACCATCAATTTCGTCTTCAATGCCTTCACAAAACACATTAAAATTGATGATCATTTCATTCTAGAATGCATCTAAGCAGCTTATTTTTCATTATATTTCATCTCAAGATCAACCAACTAATATCCTTACCAAGTCTTTTCCAACATGCCATTTTCAGCTTCTTAACAAGTTGACATTTGTTTCTTCACCCATCCACTTGAAGACTAGTCAGCTCACTAATTCTCCCACCATTGAAGCTAAGGGAACTGAAACCAACTATCCAAATGGGATTCTCCTGCTCCACTATACTCCACAAAAATATTTATATTGTCCGGGGCCAACTGCAAGCTCAATCTTGCTATTCCTAGGGGAAAAAAAGCAGCTTCCAACTCTAACTAAACAAGAGTGAATTTGTCCTCCTACCAAATTTAGCTAAACAATATACTATGCATCTGTGTTATCTGAAACAACCGAGAGAATTATCAAAAGGCAATGAAAATTAGCCATCACATTGTGTGTTGTTCAGCTTTTCTTAAGGCATTGATACTTTAAGCTTTAATAGTTTGCTTTTTTTAGCTATAAACAACACCCTTTTCACAAATTGTGAATTCGTAGAAGAATATGAAAAGAGGAAAGCTTAAAAAATAGCATAGCAACAAACAAGCTGAATATTAATTCTCATTGCCTTTTTGATAATTCTCTCGATTGCTTCAGATAACACGAATGCATAATATCATTGTGTACCTAAATATAGCAAGAGGGCAAATACACCCTTGGTTAGTTAGAGTTGGACGCATTTTTATGCAAGGAATGGTCAGGATTGAGCTTGCAGTTAACGCTGGAAAATATGGATATTTTTGTAGAGTATAGTGGGGCAGGAGAATCCCAAATAGACAGTTGGTTGTGGTTCCCTTAGATGTTTTGGTCGAAGAATTAGTGAGTTGATTAGTCTCATCACCGCTCTTCTTCAAGTGGATAATGCCAAAATGGTGTTGTGCGTAGCTAAAAAACTAACTATCAAATAAGACACCAATGCAAAAACTTTCTATTAAGGTTGGAAAGCCACATTTCATTCATAAGCAGTGATCAATTTGAGGAGAGAGATGGAATTTAGCATATTTCTCGTTTGGCACATCCAATACTAAAAAATTTAACTGATAAGGCCGTCACAAGGAGCAAGCATAATTGGACATAATCACCTCAAAAGGAATATAAGTGGACAAATGAACGTCACATTTAAGATGTAGTATTAGACAAGAAAATAACAACCAAAAGTAATGATTGAATCATTGTCAAGCAAAAGAATGCCTTGAATATTTAAAATTAAACAAATGGAATGAGCAACAAACTTTCAGCATCCTAATTACCAATGCATGTAACTAGATGATTCAACAAACAGCATAAATCAGGTAACAAAACCTCAAGGTAGAAGGCTGATCCCACATACTAAAATAAATGGCAAGGTAACTATCATTCATCCAAAGAAACATTAAAAGGCTGATCCCACATACTAAAATAAAAGGCAAGGTAACTATCATTCATCCAAAGAAACATTAAATACCAATAAGCAAAGAAAATGAAATTTTCAAGGAAAATGAGGATCCACAAGGATAGAAAAAGCCTTGCCTTAGTTATGGCCTTAAGATCAGGTCGCTTTGAAGCACGTTTAATATCTACATCACATTTTGGCCCCTACATAAGAGCAAGATTTTGGAAATACCAAATTAATCAACCAACACAAACTCATCATTAAGATGATGCTCACAAGCTGCAACGAGCAAGAACTGTAAGGGAAAGTGAACGACAAATTAGAATTCTACAAGGCAATTCAATGAAATAATGAATATATGAGGCTTAAAAATGTCATATAATCACAGGCATTTATTTAAGAAAGTAGTTTTTTTTTGTATAAATATAGAACCGGAGAGTAACAGCTACAAGATGTAACAAAACTGTTATCTTCGGAATATGGTTTGGGAATAATCATTAAGGAAAAATTAGCACATAAGAACGCAGTTGGAAACAAAATGATCTTAGTTTAGAAAATGAAAAGTGCAAAAAATAATATAAAGCTTAGAAGCAAGTTTAAAAGTTCTCTAATCTTCGGTTTAGTATTTAATATCATCGTGACGTGTTTGAATTAACAATCAAGTGTTAAAGCCTTGTGAAAAAGGGAATAAATTTCAAAAAAAAAGTATAAAAAGTGCAAAAGCCAATCGAGCAGCTTATAAATATACTCCATTCTTAGTGCTTGCTATCTAGGAGCTCCAAAGTTAACCTTCCTCCTGTTATGAAATTCGCCTCTCAATTGAAGGAACTTTGAATTTTTAAATACTTCTGAATGACCTAAAAAATATATCAGATTTTTTTTTCTTTACCTAAAAATAAATTCGGTTTACCGTTTACTGAAGATCAAAAGTAGGGTTATCAGAAGCGCGCAATACAGGCGAGCCGGCCGCCCTGATTGCGGACACTGCCTCAACTGCTCTTGACACCTCGTGGCTTGTTCATGTAGTGCGTCAGCGCATTTGGCGGCCATTGCATGGCTTAACTGGGCTAAGCTTCACCAGCGACCAGCGCTAAATCCTATTCCCGGCAATAGGACGCTCCTCGTCCCCAACCTTCACAATCCCAAGTCGTGCCCAACGGACATGCATCCTATCAGCAATCAGCAAGGAGCTCAAACCCTCCCTCTTCTAAGAAGCCACAACCTAGGGTTAAAATTAGTCGAGCCGATTCATCATTCTTCTTTTGACTTCAAGTTTAAAGCTCGCAGGACAGTGTGTTAAATACTAAAATAAAACTGAATCTAAACAACTAACATAATAAAATAATTAAAAGTTGAGCAAATAAAAATAAGATAATAAAAAATCACTTCAGAAAAAATATATAAATTTTAAACATCTTCATTAACTTATATTAGTTCCTTATATTTATTAGATTTAGGTTTATTGTAAATCAATATTTTTTAAACTAAATTGGTCCATAAGCTACTACTAAAATCAGGATTCTCATAAATTTGTCTTAGGCAGCCTATCACAGAAGTTAATCAAAAATCGCAAAGAAAAACAGGAAGCAAAGTTAAGGGAACATTCTAACAATGTTTCATCATACCAACCTCTGTGTGTTAGAATCAACCGCTAGAATAAACAAAAAGCAATGAGAATGAGTTTTAATCGTGTTTGGTGATCAGCTTTTCTTTAGGCTTCTCAATTTTATATATACTTTCAGTAATTCACACGGTATCAGAGAATTGTTTTGCCTCAAGTCAAAAGTACTTTTCTTTCATTTTATGTTTTTTTTCCTTCTTCATTGATCCTTAAATCAATCTCAACAATCATCCTCAACCACCACACTTAAAATAAGTGACATCTCTATTCCGCCTCAGCTTAAATTTTGCATGTAACAACAAAAAAATACATCAAATTTAACTTGATGTCTATAACTATATTGTGGCACTCTAAAATTATTAACCTATTGAAACCATATAGTTTGATGGTTATTTAGATGGCTGCACCAGCTAGCCACTCAAACACCCTGGTCGCTGAAAAATTTTCTCCTACCCTCATAATAAAGCATCAATGTTAATCGACAAAAATCTTTAACTGCACTCATACCTTCAATATCGATTTCTATGTCACTCTTATGTTTTAAAACTTGAATCTTACTCTGATATTTGGATTACCATTGAAAATCTCTTCAATCCACAAATCAATCTCGAGTCATTCAACTTTAGAATGTACTGCATAATTTGTCCATCAAAAACCATACTATGCCAAAAGATTTATCAACAATAAAAGCCCATGGAGCCAGCATCACAACTGCTAGATCATCTATTGGTATTGAGAAGATCATTCACTACATTATTATTGATCTTTCCCAAACTTATCAAGCCATTAGCAGTAATCTCCACAATAAGGACTTAACTTCATGTGGAGACAATTAGGTAGCATTAAAAGTATTACATGGAAGGAATCATTCAAGTTCATCTTTCACTTCTCTTGATCTGGGCTGCTCTCTCAACCCAAAAATCACAGTTGTTATCTGGAATCTTATTGTGACGATAAAGTGGTCGCTAAGAACCCTCACATTCGACATTCATGCATGTAGGACTGTCAAAAAAGCTTGTTGTTCGCGAACAGTTCGTGTTCGGCTCGACAGAGAGTTCGTGTTTGATTCGTTCAATAAGTAAAATAAGACGAATACGAATAATTTTTTTTTCGTTTGTTTTATAAATGAATCAAACACGATCAGTCATATGTTCGAATCGTTATTGTTCGAAATATAAAATAATTTAAAATAATTATATATATATATATAATTAATTTATCATATTTTAAAAATAATTATATACTTCAAAAATTTATCATATTTAAAAAATTAAATCCTATAAATTATAATCTAATCTTCAGGTTCGTCTATTAGCTTATTTTAAATTCTATAATTTTGTATTTATCTTCAAGTTCGTCTCTTAACTTAAATTTCTTTATATTTCTTATAGATTTATTTAGTTTTTTTGAGTGAAACCTAATTTTTGTGAGTGAAATCTCGCATATTGCCTCTAGATATGAATTTTTTTATGGATGAAATATGATATTATCGTTTTATTGTGAGCTGTGTTTCGGCTATTTTAAATAGTGAGACTCAATTTATTCACCATCTAAGCAAGCACGACATCTCACAATTAGCTCCATTTATTTTGAAGTTGCACACATTCCCCTTTACAATACAACAAATACAACATGTCATGCCGAAGCCACTTCAACTCTCACTAGAGCTTCATCTATAGATCTCGTTTAATCATAACTATCTAACTATTATGGCATTATCTATGGAAATTTTATGTTGATTCCCATTCTCCTCATCTCCAAAGTATCTGATTTCTTCTTCTTCAAATTGCTTTTGTGAGTTAAAAAAAAAAGTACATAAATTAGTAAAAATAGAGATTAGAAATTTCCTCATCAGTTTGAATGCTTGTGAAAGAAGAGAACTTCGACAACCATCTAATAAAAAGTAAAGAATAAAAAAACACAAACTTTGATGAAAATCAACAAAAATCATTTCATTGTATTTTAAACTACAAACCTTTAATTTTGAGATATAAAAATTGATACCAAATCTCAAATATAATGTTATAGAATTAATTTCTACATTGATTAAATTTTCTTAAGATTTTTACTTTAATTTTGTTGTGCAATTTTATAGAGCAGTTAAGGAATAATTGTCACTTTGCCCTTCATGCAATGGCTAGATCTCATCATATGGATGTAATAATATAATGGTTTAAAATTAAAAGATTACTTTGACTATATGTGGGTACATGTATTTACATTTATCATGCATTTAAGTTCCATAACTTTCCATTTTTATGAGTTATAGTGGATGAAATGAAGCAGAGTAAAAATGACGGAAACATAGCAAACTAATGGGAAATATGACATAAATTGTGGAAAAAAGAAATATGAAAAAGCGAAATAAGAATAGAAAACAAGGAGATAGCGAGAAGTGTATGTTGATATGGAAGAGAAGAGTAAGGTTAGAAATTTTAATTTTTCAATTAACAATTGGGATTTTAATATTTTTCTAACAAATTGATTTCTAATCAAATGAATTTTTTTAGTCATTATGCCTTCCAAAAATAGAATAACTAAGAGCTTGTTTACCATGCATTTAAGTTCCATAACTTTCCATTTTTATGAGTTATAGTGGATGAAATGAAGCAGAGTTAAAATGATGGAAACGTAGCAAACTGCTGGGAAATATGACATAAATTGTGGAAAAAAGAAATATGAAAAAGCGAAATAAGAATAGAAAACAAGGAGATAGCGAGAAGTGTATGTTGATATGGAAGAGAAGAGTAAGGTTAGAAATTTTAATTTTTCAATTAACAATTGGGATTTTAATATTTTTCTAACAAATTGATTTCTAATCAAATGAATTTTTTTAGTCATTATGCCTTCCAAAAATAGAATAACTAAGAGCTTGTTTACCATGCATTTAAGTTCCATAACTTTCCATTTTTATGAGTTATAGTGGATGAAATGAAGCAGAGTTAAAATGACGGAAACGTAGCAAACTGCTGGGAAATATGACATAAATTGTGGAAAAAAGAAATATGAAAACGCGAAATAAGAATAGAAAACAAGGAGATACGGCGTCTCGCTTCTGCGGCATCCTTTCTGCGCTCGTCGTTCTACGCAATCATCACCTTCTGCGATTCTGCCCGCGCCTCTTCTGCGCAGTTTCGTTCCAGACGAACCGAGTCGGAAAGCGGCAACAACTTCCTCGCTTCCTTGCGGCCCTTCAGACCTTTTCTTTCCTTTCCTGACCGTGACCATCTTGTGAGGGAGATGACCTCAACGCTCCCTTCCTATGCAAATGCCCTTTCCGGCGTTTTGCCCATTCCTACTCGTGCCCCTCCTCCAGGTTCAGAGCCTGTTTTTGCTATCGATAAGTCATTCAACGTTCCACAATCGTACCATGATGCTCTTAAAGGTGGCAGTGATCACACTTTTATTAAAAATTTTGGAAAAAAAATGGGAAGTTTGCACTTATTCTCACTGAGGTTGAAACTAATACTCTAGCTTTCTCTTGACGTCTCTAGTGAGGAAATTCCTTTATGGTCACCCAAAACTGGAGATCATTAGGAAGGAATTTGATGCTATGAAACTATTGGGCAGTTGGAACATTTGTCTACTTGACGGTAGACATACACTTATTCAGCTATCTCATGATGATGGTTACACTTGCATTGTCTCTCGAAAAGCTATCAAGATTGACAATGATTTTATGAAAATTTTGAAGTGGACTGTCGGTTTTGATCCAAAAGCAGAGTCCTTCTATCATTCCTGTTTGGATAAAGTTTCCGGGGTTAAAATTATATGTGTTCAACATGGAAATCATCTACTCTTTAGCAACTGGTTGCGGTAAGCCTCTCAAAATGGATAGTCATACGCTTGTTGTGTCTAGACCCTCTGTGGTTTCTGTGTTAGTTGAGAGAGATATCACACAACCAGCTCTGGATGAAATATGGATTGGCACTCTTCACAACGGGTATTGGCAAAATGTTGAAATGGAACCACATCCTCCTTATTGCTTTCATTGTAGTATGTTTGGCCACATCTCTACTATATGCTATTGTTTGCATCCTCATCTAAGGCCGAATACCGCTAAAGAGCCACCTATTACTCCTGTTGAGAAGATGCAACCTGATCCTCTTCCCAACACCGCAGTTCCTGAAGAAGAACAACATACTACAGCTACAAATCCAGTTATGTTTATACTACCCACTGTTATTGAAGAAGACTCACTTATATGTCAAGACATACGAGAGTGCTCATTTGATCCAATAACATATCAACTGGTACAACATGTTGCTTGTAATGTTCAACAATCTGCACATCTCTAGCACACATTAGACCAAGATTAGGTGAGTCAATCTTCGGAAGAAGAATGACAGATCTATTCCAGGAGGAAGAAGATGAATGGAGGTCGACTCCAGCTCGGGAACACTCCAGCTCGGGAACATATTGGGAACATATTGGATGATACAATGGTTACTACTGGCAAAGGCAATCATATTACGAACTTATTAGCTTGTTCTTTTCCTAGAAGCAGAGGCAGAAATAAAATCAAATTGGGTTCATCTCTAGCCACCTGATGCTATGTATTTCAGTAGTTTAGGCTTTTTCTTTATGATTAATGTATTTTTCCGTATTTTCTAGTTTTGAAACCCCTTGTGGTTTTGGTTTGGGCAGGGCGCCATGTTTGGGCCCTCCAACACATTATATTTGTATCTTTCTTTCTAGTTAATATATTAGTCTTTGGGCTTTCTAATATATATATATAT